TCTCGCCAAGTTCATGGTCATGCCCCATTTTGTCTACCTGGTGTTGAAGATCCTAACGGAACAGGGCGTTCTCACCCTGCGTGCCAACGTCTCCACCACCTATGACTGCGAAAGAGATGGACTCACCATCGCTGATGTGATGGATCTCTCGGCCAGAATGGAGGCTTGCATCGCTGATTCCAAGAAGGTGCCAGTGGAGGAGTAGGCGATCCCGACCAGGATCCTATAGACTGCGATCAAGATGGCGTGGACATCCCTAACTCCTGGCACATCGAACACCTCAGGCGTTTCTATCCTTGAGACGTCCTACTAAGATATGTACCCCTTATGTATTTATGCATTTCAATAATGATTTTCTCCATGATGTTTTCTCCATTTGTTGTTTTCTCCATAATTTTCCTCCAATTATCTTTTGTTTTTCTCCATACTAAACATCTTTAAAATGATGTATACTATTGCCATTCAAAATCAGACTGTGCCCTCGCCTTAGTCGAACACGCTCAAGGGCTTTGCCTTCCTACGCAAATTGACTCTGTTAGGATCCGATTACACCTGTTTGCCTACGACTTCGCATAGCCGCTCGAGCTGCCGAGCCACCCGAGCCACCCGAGCCACCGAGTCGCTGAGCCACCGAGCCCCTAAGCCGCCAAGCGAGCTGCGTGAGCCACCAAGCGAGCTGCTAAGCGAGCCGCCTGAGTCGTAAGCAAGCCGCGCCACGTCGCGATGATGACCGCCGCGAAGAACGGCGTTGTGACAACAGTGACCGCCGTCATGACGATAGGCCAGAAAAGCTCGAGGGTTGGGCAATTTCATTGCTGCTGACCAGTCACATTTTCATTTGCGTTATCCAGAAGCAGCCCTATCCTCGACTTAGCACCTAAACGTGCACGAGCAGTAGCGCCCTGCGTCATGAGCGGGCAGCAGTGGCTCCTCGGTGATGCCCATATTCCTAAGCGTACACAAGAATCTTAGGATAGAATGCCCCACATGTCTCGTTGGTATAGTGCTAAGCACTCTCCATGTTCTCCAAATTTTACCACGGTATAGTGCTAAGCACTCTCCATGTTCTCCAAATTTCACCATGGTATAGTGCTTAGCACTCTCAATGTTCTCCAAATTTCACCACGGTATAGTGCTTAGCACTCTCCATGTTCTCCAAATTTTGCCACGGTATAGTGCTTCGCACTCTCCATGTTCTCCAAATTTTGCCATGATATAGTGCTAAGCACTCCACATGTTCTCTAAGTTTCGCCACGGTATAGTGCTAAGCACTCTCCAATTTCTCCATGGTATAGTGCTAAGCACTCTCCATGTTCGCCACGGTAAAATGCTAAGCACTCTCCAATTTCTCCATGGTATAGTGCTAAGCACTCTCCATGTTCACCACGGATCATTGTCTGGGTGGTCACACCGCCTGGCCTTCGGATTTTTCTGCTGATCAACTGGCCGGACCGCTAGGTTCATGGACTTCGTCGCCGACTAGTTTGGACTGTTCGGCGTTCACTTCTACTCGGTGCTCGATTCTTCGCTAACCAACTGGTTGAATTATCTGTCGCTTCATCGTCAGCTACGCTGGGGGCTTGTCAGCTAAGCTGGGGACTCCACGGCATTTGGATTGTTCGTCACTTCATCGTTAGTCACGCTGGGGGATCGCCAGCTAAGCTGGGGACTCCTCGGCGTTTGGATTCTTTGTGCAAGAGTCGCCAGCTAAGCTAGGGACTCCCTTGGCGGTCAGATCTTGCTACGTCTCATCAGTGTGTTATCAACTTGCTCCATGCTGTTTGGATTAGGGTGCTGATCTCGGGTAGCACGTCTGGGGTCTTGATACACACATAACAGATGACATTGGCAAGCTTTTAGGCTTATTTTCTTTGATCCTGCTATAAGATGCTGCTTTATCTTCTAGCAGGTTCGGAGACTAAGTGTGTACACTTTACCTAACAGTGAGTGCACTATTTTTCCTCTTACTGGTCTTCAGCTAAGATGAGGGCTGGTTGTGTGCTCGGCTAAGCTGGGACTCAGTTATTCGAATTAACTGATCATTGTACTTCTTTGATCTTGACACCAGGTGCATTCTTCACCTACTGTTAGGCTCAGAGACTACAATGTATACATTGCACCTTGCGGTGCTTGTATCAAATTTATTCCTGTTTTCTTTCTTAGTCGTTGATATTCTTTGATCCTGACACTAGGTGTCTTCTTCACCTACTGTCAGGCTTGGAGACTACAATATATACATTGCACCTTGCGGTGCTTGTATCAAATTTAACGGTTGGCTAAGTTCCCGTTTTCTTTCTTAGTCATTGATATTTTTGATCCTGACACCAGGTGTCATCTTTACCTACTGTCAGGCTCGGGGACTAAAATGTATACATTGCACCTTGTGGCACATGTATCAATACTAGCATCCTCTTTGACTAAGTCATTGATGATGATCATCTGACTTCGCCAACAAAGCCTAAGTGTGTACACTTCACATAAGGTGGAGAATTTTTTAAATTTTAAACTTGAGCTCCTTACATCCTTCTGGCAAGCCTTACTTGAGTATGTTCGAGGCATGTTGACCAGTTAAACTGGTCGACACTTTATTTTATTGATCGGATTACTAGTTAAACTGGTCGGATTACCAGTCAAACTGGTCGGCACTTCATTTTGTTGATTGGATTAACAGTTAAACTGGTCGGATTGCTAGATTAACTGTCTGACTCCAAGTTAAACTGCTCGGACCTGCTCAAGACGGCATTGCTCAGTGGATACAAGGCGCTCGGGGACTAGCTATGGGGGGTATAACCCCAGGTACCCACGGCAATGGACATGGGCCACACCACCGGAGGAGGTCCAGCCCATAAGATTAAGGCCTATGGTGCTTGGCTCTGGTCGGCGTGCACCGCACGACAATCAGAAGACATCTTGGCAATGAAGGACGATCTGTTCGAATATGATAGATATCATATTCCTTATAAATACTTACCATATAGCCGAATAGATCTAGACCTAAACTGACCTGTAACCCTACTATCGGTGTTTCGAGTAAACACCAACGAGTAAATTTGTATTATTGCACGTTCAGCCTGGATGGTATGCTAAAAGACACAAGGTTTATACTGATTCGGGCATAATGTCCCTACGTCCAGTTTGCGGCTGCTGTTCGTGTTATTAGCATTGAAAGGTTCGTAGTAGGGGGTACAAACGGGCGAGAGAGGGACATGTCCCAAGTCTCTGATGGAGAGGTCGAGTGGACGCTGAGAGCTTGGTTGTTCCTCAGCTGTGTGATGTGTGTGTGTAGAATTGATCCATCCCCGTAGTGGGGTGCCCTGCCTTCCATTTTATAGACCAAGGGGAGGCAGGGATTACAGATGGAAGAAAGAAGAAAAACTACATGCCAAGAAGGTCCTTCACAGATGTCGGGTCTTCCTTTTTCTCTAAGCCAGCTCCGCTGACACGGCAGACGGTGCTAGGGATAGCTCCATGCCGGGTGCATGTCCGCTGATCCCGATAGGACCGTGCTCTGGCTTTGTCAGCAAGTGGTCACATCCCATCCCGCCCCGGCGGGCGGTGCGATAGGCCAGGGTGCTAAACCGTGACCCTAAGGGGTGCAGACGGTATAGTGACCCCACGTCCGTTACTGTAGATGATGTGAGTTTCCTCCTGACTGTAGTGGTTGTCGTATGCTTCCGTCAGGATCTGTGGCCGAGGGCAAATGCCGACGCCCATAACACTGTAAGACAAATGTCGGCGCCCACAACACTGTTCAAGCTCTGACATGCCTGGAAGGGCTTAAAGCGCCCGTCTTGTCATGTCCTGATGGTACTTTCCTGCAGGCGTGCAGAGTATGGTCCTCGGTATTGTGATTGACTTGAGTGCCCCACCTTATCTACGCGCGTAGTTATGAAAGAGCAGCGCGTAGTCGTCGGGCGAGGTGGAGCTCGCCCTCAGATGTCGGGCGAGGCGGAGTCTGCCCCCAGAAGTCGGGCGAGGCGGAGTCTGCCCCTAGAAGTCGGGCGAGGCGGAGCCGGCCCTCGGACGAGGCGGAGTCTGCCCCCAGACGTCGGGGCTAACCCTCGGTCGTTGGGCTAGAGGTGTAGTCGCGTTCTTGTTTGTTCGGAAGCATCAATGTTTAATGGTCATTAGCTCCTCCTCTTTGGGTATCCTAGTATTTGATCCCCGACACCTACCCTCTAGACTATATAAGGCAGGTAGAGACCCCCTCGAATGTATCTCATATTCCATACAATCCACCAAAGACACAGGACGTAGGGTATTATGTCGATCAGACGGCATGAACCTGTCTAAATCACTTGTCTCTGCGCTTGTGTCACCATCCGGCTCCTATTACGCGCACCTCCACCGATTCATCTACTACCGTGGGCATACCCCTCGGTAGACTGCCGACCATATTTCGTCGACAGGCATATACCAATCTTGTTATCAGGGGCTGGAGTTTATTGGCAAGGAGCTTTGTGATGATTTTCACTGCGGAGTTAAGCAAGGATATAGGTAACTGTTGTACAATCCGAATTATTTACAGTAAATGAAGAAAATGAGTACTTTTATTTAATCATAATCTTTTTTAGGGGCACAGCAGGCTCAAACTCGGATCGCGCCATCGCGAGATCGATCACACGTGCTCTCCAAACGGCTACATGTAAACTACATTTTATATGTATCCAAGTACATAGAACGTTGACAGGGATCCCGATGAACACAACTACACAAGAAATATTTTTCTGAAGTACATGAAGGAATATCAAATCACGTGGACGCCGGATATTACTCCCATGCTCCCAGCTCCCAAACACACCAATAATCCCCAACAACACGTAAAAGACACGTTAATCCGCCGCTCCTTTTCCCTTTTACCTCCCGTCACAAGCAACTCTTCCCCCCATTTTCCCCCTCACAGTAACACATAATTTGTTTTTCACACTTTTGTCTCGAAGTTACATTCTCCATTTTCACGCGCAAATCTACTATATGCATAAATCGGCTAATTCAATCAATTATTTCTGACAACATGGGCCCACGATCCTGCACCGCGTGGTCTTGCCGCTGCCGCCCGCCTTCCCTCCGGTGGCCCACCCGCGGAGCTTCCGGATCAGCCTCGGCCGGCCGATGCTCCACCCACCGCCGCTGCCGTCCCTTCCGCGCCCGCCGGCCGCCGCCGCCGCGAACCCCATGCACGACGGCTCCATCTCCACGCTGCGGCGCGGCGGGGCCGTCCCGGATGCGGACGGCGACACGGACCCGGCCTTGCGCAGCTCCACCTGGTTGCTCGGCGGCACCGACGCCACCATCGTTTCGCCCTTCTTCTTCCTCTCCTCCTCCTGCTCCTCCAGCACCACGCCGTCTTGGTCATCGTCGTATTCGTCGTCGCCGCTGTAGGTGCTGCCAGCACCGAGCACCGTCCCGCCATAGTCGTTGTCGATCAGCATCAGGTCGTGCTGCAGCCAGGCCGTGATCCAGCCCAGGTAGATCATCTCCTCCATGCCGGCCGCCCACCGGTCCCGCAGCGCCTCCAGCCCGTCCACCAGGTCCCTGCCGCTCGACAGGTTCCGCAAGCTTCTCTCAACCGCCACCTCCACGTTCTGTGATGCATGAAGGAAAGGAAAGCAGAGCATGCAGTTCAATCAAATCCATCGTTTCATTTCAGTTCAAATCACTGACCAAAGAGGACACGGAAAGATGAAGCAAACAAGACAGTTTGATCGTCAATGGACTGGGGTTACCTCATTGTTTGCTCCCTTCTGCTCCAGAAGCTGCAACGTCAGCTGCTTCATCTCTTCCATGGACTGCTCAAACTCCTCGCACCTTCTCGTCATCTGGGCTTGTTTCGCATCAAGAGCCACGATTCTCTCACCAAAAGCATCCGAATCTTGCTTGCTTCTCTTCGACATCTTCTTGAACCTGCCTTGCAGCCTCTCAAGCTTGCCTCTCATGGCCGTGAACTCTTCCGCACCTGCGCGGATCTCTGCTGCCGCTGCTTCGAGCTGCTGGTTCTGCGACTCCAGCAGCTCCAGCTTCATGCCCAGGCACATGATCTGCATCTTCTGGTACGCCGACTCCTGCTCCTTCATGTCGCAGTACTCGTGGAACTGCGCCTCGATGTTGCACGCTCTGTCTTCAAGTGCTGACACCATGAGCTTCAGGCTCGCCATCTCGTCTGTCTCCGTTCCCTGATCATCCTGGATCTGGTTCTTGGCTGCAGCTTCTGATGGATCCTCAGTGGCCTCTACCACCATGACTTCTTCGGCATTCGAAGCCTGCCTTGCAAGTTCACTGATCAGAAGTCTGCCGGCAGTGCTGCAGGCACTCTCTGTTCTCGCCAACTTCTGCTGTGCGCGGCGAGTTGATTCCATTTCTTCCTCCTCTTCTTCACAGATTGAACCGAATGATTGTTCCAATTGGAATGAACTACCAGATGAGTCTGTGTAACTACTGTGCCTATTTGCCCTGTTTGTTATGAGGTCACAGATAAAAGCACCAGCCAGGGGAAAAGCTAAGGGAAAGACTATCTTCAGAAGAAGATTCTTGATGCTCTCTGCATTCTTGCTTTCCATTGAAAAGATTTCATCATTCCTCCAGTCTCAGTGGAATAAGCTTTTAACTACTATATGTATGCCAACCCAAAGTTGTTCATACATTGCTTTGCCTTCAGGGCTAAACTATGCCAAGTTTGTTCAGGTATTTAACCATCCATCGATGTTGCGATAACATTGATCCTTGTTTAAGAACAAAAACAAAGATTTTTTCAGAACAAACAAATGTATAGGCTAGGGTTATTCCATACCATTTGACCTTATTTCACATAAATATACCTCAGAGATAAAGACTAGCAGCTCTGAGTTTTAAACAACCTAGAAATCATCTTTATCTTTCAGGGCAAGATTAGTATTGTTCCATTTCTTGATTATGAGAAAAGCATAAACTTTGCATGCAGAAGATGCAAAGGCTTACCTCCTTGTTTAAACATTGCCCAGGATCATCTGCTGGGCATCATGGAACCTTTTCTAACAGCCAAGGCTTCCCTCCTTGTGCTCATGATTGATAACAGAGAAGCACAGTAATAAAATAGGTGAAAAGTGACATGCTTCTCATAAAGTAGACCAAGTCACCACAAACAAGCCAGGGTTGCTTAATGTGTAAAATCTAACCTTTTTGCTTGCGTGTGCTAGATGAAGACAGTCGTCCATTAGATCATTAAGGTACTTATCTTTTCGCTTTTCGCTTTTGGCTTTTGCTTTATACATCTAGTTGCATACTATTATTTATGTTTTTCCATAAAGGTATACTCCCTACATCCCAAAAAGAATGAAATTCTAGATTTGAACCAAGTCAAAATTTCTTGAAGTTTGCTTCAAAATAGTAACATTTATGCCTTCAAATAGGCTTAGTATGAAAATATATTCCATGATTAATGTAATGATACTTATTCGATATAATAAATGTTAGTATTTCTTTGTATATATTTGGCCAAACTTAAAATTGTTTGAATCCTCAAAAAGTGACAATTGCATTCTATTTGGGATGGAGGGAGTATGCACTTTCTTCCTCTTAACTCAAATAACAAACTGCACATGGAATCCCAAACATCAATTTATTTTTATTTTATTCATATAACTATCAAGGTAGGCAACCATTTATACTTTTCTTTGCAACTAAATGTTTACTACAAGGATTCTTCTAAGCAGTACAGGTAATGGAGAAATTGGTAAGGATCCATCGTTGTCAAATATAAGAGGGAAAAAAAATCTATATTTCAATAAAGTTTGAAATCTTACAAGAGTGTACTATCAGTGCAATACCACCAGCATATTTTGTAAACTAGCCTTTTTCAATAGCAACACTCTACACTGTTCATGCAAATATGTACCATTTCCTTCAGAACTCTATGCACAGTTATCCTTCAATGATCTTCACAGGAGTCCTGCATAAAAGGAAATTTATATTACCATGACGGTTGGAGAGAGAGAAAAAATTGAATGTCAATTACAAGCAGTCAATCACACTTACCCGAATGCACTCTGTTTGATTGACAGTAGCTCAACATCCAGCTATTGAAATAATGGGAACATAAAAAATAAGATGGAGAAAACCAAAACTGAATAGACGGTCTTCAACTGGTAAAGAACATGATAGTTTGTAAATGATGTGGAAACAAATGTTAGTTTACCTCAATAGTTGCATTTGGAGGAATTTCCTGGACGCCCTTCTTTCCATACGCTAGTTCAGGAGGAACAATTATCAACCTCTGAAAATTACATTATCATGTTTTCCAATGCTGTTAAAATTCCCATATATGTATGTTCAAAGGAACGAAATGGATGAAGTAGACCAATCATTTGTTGCATGCATCTTTTCTTTTGTTTGAAGCACAAATGGATATTCAATATTGTTTTTTAGGCATGACACAAGGAACTTGCACAACAAATTACATTAACATGTCCTAGGACAATCATTAACATTGTTCTTTGATAAAGAATTATATGATGGACACATGGAGAACTTAGTTATACTCATTCTGGTTCATAGCTAATTGAATCAGTGCCCATATACTAGTTCTTGATAGAGTCAGTTTATTTCTTTTTATTTGAAATGAAAGATCAAACATGGAAACCAAATCAAAACTTGCATTAACTGACCTGGCCTCCGACTTTCATTCCCTCGACCCCAAGATCCAATCCTTTTAAAACATTTCCTCTCTCAGAATTGCCTACGTCAAACCCATATGGCTGCACATAATCTTAAGACTTGTAAAAGACAGCAATATTAAACAAACACAGCTGAGATATCAAATATATTCACTCCATAAATACCAGGATTTGTAATATGGAAACTATCAAGAAACTTCTACTGGTTCAAATAAAGAAGCACCAAAATAATCATAAACTGATATAGGTAGGAGCAAGGAACTTCTCCAAGATTAGAATTTCATAAGATGTCAGGAAAATTTAGCTCAGTACCACCATTGACTGGTACAAGTTAAAAGCACATTCCAATGTGAGAACATGTAGCAATTATATGGAGAAAGAGGCAGAATATGTTATAGCATTACCGTGCCACCACCAACACCAAGACCCTGCCTACTTGTCATGAATGTGATGCCCTTCCACTTGGCCACATAATGTACCTACACTAACTTAAGCATCGAACATTATACAAGATAAATACAGCTCTGTTGTCTGTAATAACAATGCAATTGGTAAACATTCATACAGGTTGTTTGTAAGTAGTTAATGAATTATCTTTTTTTTTTGTATGACAAAATTGGTATTGGTATATGAAAAAATATCAAAGTTCAAATGGGATCCACTTAATTTTAGGACAGACTTTTCAGCGTCAATTAGTTATAGCATGCTAACTTATTCCAAGCAAGTCATTATTTGATTCACATGATTTCTCAAAACAAGAGCACATTATAAAACAGCAAGAGATTAATTTAGTGTTCAAGTTGGTAAACAAATGAAAACAATTCAGACTTCCCGGTCTCAGGACTCAAGAGACCTCAGGGTCACCATTCCTCTATTCCCTGGATTATTGCATTTTGAGGGAGATACAGTGTCATGTATGATTTGCATACTGCAGACCAAATGCAAGTCTGCAAATGCCAATGATTCGTTCATTATGGCTATATCATGCTAGATCCCAAATACACAAATTAAGGTGGTACTTACCGCAACACGGGATCCTTTAACAGCTTTAGCCCCACTTCCTACCTTGATGTCATAGTACCTGGTCAGAAATTTGGTAAGTACTTTGGGAAACATGCTCATCTTTCAATCAAACAAGGGTCAGCAAATTTTTTTTATATCTGAATAATAATAGTGAAACGACCTATTTTGAACTCTGATTCATATGCCTATTCCTTTCCCTGAGCAAGGTATATAGAGGTAGTCACTCATTGCCAGAACTACTACTAAATGCCAATGCTAGTGCTAAGTTTCAAGTACTACTCAGAAATCTTATGCATAGGAAATCCTATCTATATAGATAGTGGTTTCGTTATCCTCAAATCACTCAATAAACTCTTTCCTACTTTCGTTAGATACTAATACATGAGACACTTGAAGCAGAGTCAAATTTCCCCAAAAATCACACCGACATGAATAAAAATCAGAGGAAGCGCTTACTTGAGGCCATTGGGCAGGGTGGTGAATTCGCTCTCAGGAATCTTGGACGCCCTGAGCTGCCCGTTCAATCAACCAAACACAGGAAAACAAAGCACAAACATCTCAACCCAACTTCGCAAGATCCTGACACAATCCTGAGAAATCATGTAGCGGAGTGCAAGGTCGTCGTCAGGTGCTTACCGCCCTCCTGCTGGTGGACACCGCTCCGGCTTCCCCTCCGCCTCCGGCCACGCCAACCCCCACCGCTACGCCAAGCAACGCAAAGAAACGATCAGAACGCGCAGTCCCCCCCGGCGAACAGAACCCACACGACCATGGAGCAGAGCAACCAAGAACCTGCTGCGGCGGCGAGGAGGGAGGCGAACCACCGCCGGGTGGCCACCGGGGAGGCGTCCGGGGAGCCGCTGCAGCGGCAGGCGAAGGCCGGCCGCCGCGCCGCCCTCCTCGCTGGGAGCGGCGGAAGGGCGCGGCGCAGGGACAGGGAGAGGGATGGGACGACGGAGAGCTCCATTGGTCGGGCTGCGGGCCTGCGGCGGCGGCGGACTCCGGAAATTTCGATATTTTCCGGCTCCGTTCGTGCGGATTTGGTGCTCGTGGCCTCTGCATTTCCTTCCATCCTAGGATTGTCGCTAGTGCGTCGCTCGCTCCCTCCCACCGGCGGAAATCAGGATCTTCAATTTCAGCCACACTGCGGGCTGTCTGCAGTGTAGACAAGTCCAAACATGATCCAGTTTCTTCTTCTTGTTTCTCACCCTTTGTGAAATTATTAAACGTTCTCCGATTTCTCATAGCAATCTTAAGTTTTTGTTGCTTTATTATAGTAGTATAAGAACCGAAGTATTATACCATTTATTCGCCAAAAAAAAACTTTGAATTGATAAACTTTGCAGGAAATTTTCCTTGCCTTAAGTTTTCGTTGAACCCTACGTCTAGATTTATTTTTTCAACAATCAAATGAAACAATTACGACGTACGTCTGAAACAGATAAAACATTTAGAACATACAGTTGCGATATAGCCATTGCAACATTATAGATAAAAGCACTTACAACATACGTCTGAAACAGATGAAATATATTGAACAAACTCTTAAAACATACATGTAGAGCCATTGCAACATGTGCAACATACCTCTAAAACATTTAAAACACTTGGAACATACGTTTGCAATTGCAACACACGTTTTCAGTGCAACATGACGCGGGCGGCGTGGCGAGCTGACGTGGTGGCGGCAGCCTAACACGGTAGAGGTGGTCGTGGTAGGCAGATGGAGGCGCCTTGTTATGGTGGAGGCGGCTGCGGCAGGCAGATGGAGTGGCTGCGGCGGGAGGAACCAGTTTGCACGGCGGAGGCAGCAGATCCAAGATGGCAAGGGCGGGCGACGCGGGCAAATGGAGACGACCATTGCAGTAAGGGCATGCGGCGCAGGAGGGAACGAGCAGTTCGGGCGGGAATGAGCGGAGTGAGGCGTCCGAATAGACGGACGGACGCTCGCTTCCTAGCATTAATGCACATAAAACTCATTGAACCTTATTAAAGGCCTGTTTGGGTAGGAGAATTGTTTCGTACTCACGTGAAACCTAAGAATATATGCCAAACGATCAAATGCTAAAACGTTTCAGCTCAGAAACGTTCTCCTTCTTTGCTTAAGAACTGGAGTCACCTATGTGCTGGTTTTGCAGTGATTCTACTACAGTTCTTTTGCCTCCCTTCTCTTCTAACAATTGTATCTTATTTGTTTATAATTTTTTTTCTGGTGCAACAAATCAAAACATGTTGTATTTAAGTTTTTCTTCGCTCAAATAAAAATTAAGATTTTCAGAGCATATTTTTATTTCTATGATTTTCTATGGAAAATATATATATTCCCGTGAATCAGAATGGAGCCTACCGACCAAGCGATCTCAAAAAGTGAGTCTGGTTCATCATCTGAAATATTTCTTAAAAGAATCTGAAACCGAAACGTTTATATGAGAATCTAAATCCGACCAAACGCGCCTTAAGATTGGTCTAATGAGCACGCCAAGGAATCGCATTCAAAAGGGCCATTATTTTTGTTATATTATAACCACTATCCTCTCTCGGTTTGTATTTCCATTCTTTCCCGGACCATTTTTTTTCTCTCTTATTGCTCCAGGCTAAAACCAAACACTAGAGATTAGACTAGACGATCGAGACTAAGGCCCTGTTTGGCAGGGCTTCACTTCATTAGTGAAGCCATTTTTTTGGCTTTTACAACAGCTCCACCGGTGGGCCAAGCGGTTTTGGTAAACCGTTTGGCAAAATGGCTTCCCTATGAGAGCATGTTTTTAGGGGCTCGGAGGAGAAGCCGGGAGAAGCCACTATTTTTGGCCCTTAGTGAAAGCACGTTTTAGGGGCTTCATCGGTTTGTTTTTGGTAAAACGGCTCCAAATAGGAATGACGGGGCCTAAATTTTAATAAACCATGGGCCATGGGCTCTGTAGCCATAGTGAGGATTTGTTTTTTTAATAGGAATGACTAAAAATCATTTTCTGTAGTAGTGAGGATTTGTTTTTTTTAAATGGCATCTCATTTTTGCATATTTATGGCTAGAGTACAATAATATTTAACATGTCACAAAAACTCAAAGGACAAATAATATAATGGCAGCCTGCCGAGGGCATGCCTGCTCGGCCATAGCATGGGCCATGGGCTGCGGGAAGATGAAGTCCATGGAGGAGATAAGTGAGAGGAACGGGAAGAGATAAGAGAGATGTGGGGGAAAATGATAATATTGGGCCCATGGTGGACGCCCATGTTGCTGCCTAAAATTTTGAAGTGTTGTGTATTATGCGTGATAATTTCAGGGGAGGGGGTGTATTAGCAACCGTCATCTAAAAATACATTTCCAGATATGGTTTGTAAGCTAAGGTATCTATTCTATTTCAAGGGAAGGCTAGTAGCCGCATAGGAAAAAAAATAGAGATGACTCTAAAAATAATTTTCTGTAGTAGTGTCGGGGTTATAACCCCGGGTGTATCAGGACACCGATTAGTTAGTAGGCTATGTGACCCGCAATACGCCAGCTGGCGAAAGCCCGAATGACCGAGGCCCAGCCAAGCCGAGCAAGCCAGGTCGGATGCTAGGACCAGGGTTAGCCACGACCTCTTCCTCCTGCCTTAGCCACATGGCACTCGAAAAGCGCACGACCTCGCCGCCATCACGACCTCTGAAAGGGACGGGGAGAGGTCGAGCCCCGCCAAGTACACTTACTCTGGAAAGGGCAGGCACACATCACTGACCACACGAGGACCGAGGGGACAGCAGTCACCTCTGTCCGGTCAGATGCCAACCCTGCGCCACAAAGATCGGACAAGACAACACCGCCCTGAGGCGGTGACGACAGGCACGATGATCACCGGCCAGATATGCCCGACAAGACGCATATACGATCTCACCCACTATGGGATGGGATCCACGACAGAGGCCCTGACTTAAAGGCCACCTGGACCAACGAGAGCCACGACCCCAACTGTTGGGATCGTGGCCTTCAGCTCCTCAAGACGACCAAACGATCGACGACCTGAGGGCGGCTACCAACTCATGTACCACGCCCTAGGAAACCAGGAGACAAGGACGAAGACCACGGTAGAGATCATGTCGCACAGGACGGCCAGCGAACCACCACCATGCCTACAGTGCCGCCACGGCTGGCACAGTAAACATCACGCCATACCCTGCTATGACGTGGCCACAAGACGGTGACAACAGCCACACCCGGACGTGCTCCACAAGATGACGTAGATTGCAAGCCAAGTTAGCTAGGACCTCCCTTAGGCTCACGACCCTTCGATCGGGAGAACCTCCTCCTTTGTATACGCTCTGGCCCCGAACTCTATATAAGGGCAGCCAGAGCTTCCATCTCGGGGGACGGAGAGACATTCTAAGTCCCCTACTCACTCTTTCATTCTCCATCGTAGTAGGGCTCCTGAAGCTTCCCTTAAGGCAGCCCATCGCCTAGCTTAGGTTCTTCTACCTCTTCCACCACTACTACACAAACTTTACTGGAGGCAGGCATTTTCGGTTTTCCGCGGCGGGCAAAGCCGTCCACCGCGGCCTAGAGGCCACGGTAAATCGTGGTTTAATCTGCGGTGGCGGTCTTGCTTCATCATGGTTAATCGATTTATCATGGGCGGCGGTGTAACGCGTGCCGCCGTGGTAATATACTTTTACCACGACGGGCACGTTAGGATGCTCGCTGCGGTTAATCATTTAAAAAAAACAAAAAAAAACCAGGAGCCCGTCGGCGAGCCCGTTCTCGAGCCCACTGGCGAGCCCACCGGCGACGGATCCGGGCTTCCCACGGCCGCCACCACCTTGCCAGTCGCTCGTAGGGGACCACGCCGTCGCCTCCTCGCGGATCCCCGTGCCTCCTCGCGGATCCCGCCGCGCCGTGGTGGAGGGAGGCCGCCGCGCCGACGCGTCCTCGCCCGCCGTGGTGGAGGTCCCAGCGTCGTGGCCGTGGTGGAGATCCACCGCTGGATCCGGTCACTCCACCGCTAGATCCACGGAGGAGGAGGGTGCAGCCGCCAGATCCGTGGGGGAGGAGGTCGCCGCCGCCGGATCCATGGAGGAAGAGGTCACCGTCGCCGGATCTGGAGAGAGGAAGAGGGAGGAGTGAGGGAGATGGAGAGGAAGAGGGAGATGAACTCACTGGATTTGAAACCCTAGCCCCGCACCGTCATCGTTCATGGAGGATCCGTGGGGGAGGAGGAGGGCGCAGCCGTCGCCGTCGTCCCGCGCGCGCCGTCGCCCCGCGCGCCCTCAATCCGCCGTCTAGAGGCCTCGCGTGCCCTTAGAGGAGGCCACCAGGGAAGGGGAGGAGGACCGCCACCGCCGATGGGGAAGGGAGGGTCCGCCCGCCGTTGTCGTGTCGCCGGTGTGGTGCCACCCGCCGGCCTCCTCCTCTCGGCACGCATGCGCCACAGTGCTGGATGGATGGCGTGGCGCGCTCTATGGAGGAGAGCTGCGCATGCCGCCTGCATCGAGGGAGAGAGAGAGGGAGAGTAGAGGGAGGCAGAGGGAGAGTGGGGGAGGTGGAGAGCTGAGAGAGAGAGAGTGGGGGAGGCGGGGAGCTGACAGAGAGAGAGTGGGGGAGGCGGCGAGGGATGTGGGTGATGTGTTTCAGTGAAACCCTAACTCCCTCCTTTTATATTGAGATGGCTATTGGGCCTCGGTTTGGGTCGATTGGGCCTCCACATTTTAGGTGGCGGGTATTTTAGGACGCCCACCACGGTAAATCGATTTACCGTGGCGGGTAAAAATGCCCGCCGTGGTAAATAAAAAATGCCCGCCTAGGTAAACCGTGGCATTTACCGTGACGGGCAAAAATAGGTGCCCGCCTCGGTGGCCTCCGGGGGGGTGTCGCGCAAAATCATTTGTGTAGTAGTGCACCATTCTTGCACCCCCCATTGTAAGAACTTCAGAGCGTTCAAGCAAGGAACACGTACTCGATTATCTCTAATACTGGACGTAGGGCTTCGGCCTGAA